AAATTAAAAGTTATATGTCAAAACTAAATCAAAAGTCAATAGTCAAAAATCAAAACTAGTTTCGACTTATGGCGAAATCTTTTGACTTTCGCATGGTTGCGAAACTCTCTAATTTTGGAAACCAACACTAATATCGATCAATGTTTAATATAAATTTTTTTATTTTGCTAAATCATAAATAAATTATAATTAGAGTGAGGATATATAAAATAAAATAAAACAGAAGTATGCTTTAAAAAAAATTGTAAAAGCACACGAAGATTCAATTATTAAAATCGGAATCATCCGAGAATTTTTTAACCTCCTCATCTTTTTCAAACATTATACGATCATTTTTTGAATTGTCAAATAAATATCCCATTTTTTTATTAATGGATCCACATGATAGTCCCTCGCCAACAACAATATCCGGCTCTTCTACTACTACTCCACCAACAACGGGTCTTCCACCCGTGCCTCCTTGTTTACTAGTAACCAACCATTTTTTGTCAGTTTCTGTCAATTTGGTAATCGGAATCAAGGATTCTCCATTCATATAATCAAAACAATCTTTAGGGCCAAATCCTAATGCCCAACGGATCTAGTTAAATATAGTAGACACATATATACTATCATTACATATGTTTTAATTATTTAGAGGATTTTATGATCTTTAACTTCTTATTTACCTTCATTTTTGTTCTAATGTTACTAAGTGCACGAGCTGCTCCTGCACGTGTATCCATTTTTATAAATGCATGATTTTTATCATAATTAATCTAATTTATTATCAAACAATCATTTATTATTTATTTATTGGTTATTATTTATTAATTATATTTATTTTAAGAAAAAACTAAAGTCTTATTTAATAATACCGTAACAACTGAGACAGGTCCAAATTTGGTAAACATTTCTTGCATAGCATTTTTAGGCATATCTTCTGAAACACTACCAACATAAAGTGTTCGACTTAAAACTACATACACACAACAAAATTAATTAACAAAATTTTTTTTTCTTTTAATAAATAAAAATTTATATTAATAGGCACATTACCTTTGATATATTCCATTCCAACAGTTGGATCCTCATATACAAGACATATATCTTGTAATATTTGTGTTTGTTGTTGTGATGGTGATGATGATGATAATGATGATGATGATGATTGATGTGCTATTGGTTGAGTAACTGGAGCAATTGTTGTAACCGGATTGATTGGAGCAGATATTTGACCAGGCTGTTGTTGAGACAGATTAATGCCACCAGCACCAGTAGTATTGGTAGTAGCAGCATTATTAACAGCAGATGATGATGTTGATACTTTAGGCAACAATTGATGAGTGGCTGAAGATGGTAATGGATGACCAGGTATTGTTGATGGAGGAGAATAACCTAGTGGTAATGGTTGTGATGATGTTGTTGGAGCAGGTACAAAAGGACCATTTGGTTGTTGTGCCACTGCAAATTGATGGGGTGGCAATGGAGTATTTGGATTCCATGGGACAGGTTGCGTAAGATTTTGTTGAGTACCATTACTATTCCAGGCTATTGTATGAAATTGTTGATCAGGTAACATCCAAGGTTGTAATGAATTAAAAGGAAATGATTTTCCAGATTGTTGTTGCTGTTGTTGTTGAACTATTATTGATTGACTAGGATCTGTTGGGGATTGTTTCATGGTATGTTCTTTTTTGTGCTGTTGATTTGATGATCTTGGTGGTGTGCCATCACTTTCATCCATATCACCATAATCGAAATCTAAAGGGTTATTCAATTTTGGTGCAAAATTTGTCACATATGAAGTGAGTGGTGGTTGTTGTGGAGTTTGATGAGGTGGAATTGCATGCGGATGAGGAGGTTGGTTAGAGTTGACAGGAAGATTGTTGAAAGGAATTGTTGCATTAGGTATTGGATTAGATGATAGGAATGATGGGATGTTTAAAGCTCCTTGTGTAAGATTATTCAAAGTGGCCAATAATGTTGAAGAATCCATGTTATTAGGATCTATGATAGGGGCAATGATGATTATGATATGGTATTTATTATCATAGAAATAAGTTCAACTGTAGATTCTCATAAAAACAACTTTTTTTAATAATATTAATGTGCATAGTCATCCTAAAATATAAGCAATAAATAAAAATAATAAATAGAGGTATAAATTTTTACTTATTTAACTGACCATTATTAGAAGAAGAAACATTTACTGATTTTGTCTCATTAACACTGTTAACCAATTGAGTGAGTGGAGTGATTTGATTAAAATAGATGTCTTTTATTCTTTGAATAATCTCCTTGTTATAAGTTTCTTTGTCATACCAAAGGTCAAGAACACGTTTCACTTTATCCTGTAAAAAATTATTATATTTTATTTTATTATATTGTACGAGGTTTTGATTAATTAATAAATATTTATCATATCACAAAGATCTCATTTTTTTTTGTTTTTCTCTTTGAAAAGAACACACATTAATTGATCTTTTGTTCAGAATTATCATATTCATCATTATTATTATTGTTATTAATATTGTTAATACTGTGATATATTTAATAGTAATAATCCAAACACAATTATATCATATTTGGAATGTAAATTGTAAATTTGGTTTCTTTAATGTTCTGAAATATATTTTATAAAATTAATATCTGAATATACATCTACTATATAATTAGGTGTTTTTTCTCCTACATATTAATTAAGGTTATAGTAATAAATTGTCTATATTTCTCCAATGTTGGCTAATTATAATTAGTGATGATTTTCTCTATTCTCACTCAATATTTAAATATATAAAGAACTTTTATAAAGTTCTATCCAAAATCCTCCTCTTATATCATCATTTATTCATCATCATTATCCTGATTCTCTAAGTCAATCTTTCTTGTTCATTCATTCATTTTTTTTTTTAAATCATAATGATAACAACAATAACAAATCCAGCAAATATAATATATAATATAAAATAATAATAATGATAAAGATATAACATATTAAAAACATTGTACCTTATCATGCTCCGGACATTGCATTATATGTGTAAATATTTCTTCTAACAGTTTCTCAAATCTATCGATATATTCTATTCCTGTCCACAAAGAAGATGATGAAGCTTTGGATGTAATTGATGATGACTCATTTTTTTTTGTCATTGCTGATCCTTTTTGTTTTTGAGCAGTTTGTGATATTGAATCTAACACATATAATGCTCCCAATTTATAATCAGATGGGCATCTTTGAATAAACTTTTGTATACTGTAAACTATATTTTTGTATTGCTATAAATTATAATATGAGTTACAAAAAAAACTTAATTGAAGCCAAAAAAAATTTTTTATATAATTATGATCTATTACTATTATTAATTTTTATTATGAATAATAGCATTTTTAATACAAATAAAGATTCTAATTCTAACTCTACATCTAACTTTGATGAAGGGATATGTCAAAAGTTTCTATTATTCGGATTTCTTGGGTAAAATAATTTAATCTAAAAAAAAATAATATCCATACCTTTGGGCTACTCAAAGCTACTTTAGTTAGATCTTTTATTTTTGAAGCACTAGTCCCAGGTGGCTTTCTTTCAAGTAGTTCATTTAATTTCTTATCGAATTCAGGAAAATCATTTACTGTGATTTTTGTCATGTTGTCTCAACACAATCTATAAATATAACGACAATAAAAAAATTTTTACCATTGGTTTTGTTACACGAACTATCAATATTAAAATAATGGGCGTTATTGATAATCGTGGTGTTGGATAATTAAAAACAAAAATATACCTGAAAGATATAATCCATATTAGAAGAACATCTGGATTAATTAATTCATCAATTTAATTATTTATGAATCACTATTATATTTATTATTGTATATGAAATTCTGAGTGGCTAATTTGAATTTCATGTGCATGAATTGCAATTCACGCAAACATAATAATTAATCTATACAGTGATCGATAACTTGAGATTTTTTTAATTTAATACATTCATGCAATGTTTTTTTCTTCTAAAATATAATAGTTGGCGATGTTTTGTACAAGTATATAATACTTTTAATTGGATGCTTCATTGTTTAGATAAAAAAAAAAGATTGGGAACTTTAAATTTATTTATTTTGCTGATTTAATATAATAATATAAAAATAATAATAGTTTCTGGAGGAGTACCTGAAGAACCTGTTGTTTCCAAAAAGTCAGAACAACTTTATGAAAAAAAGTTGATTATCAAATATATAGCTGAAACCGGAAAGAAACCTGTGACTGATGAAGATTTATCTGAGGAAGATCTATTAGAAGTAAAATCAAGTAAGCTTTTTAATATTTTTTTTTGGAAGAAAAAATTTTGATTAATAAATAAACATTTATACAACATGTTTGAACGAATGGTAGTTATGATGATATCAATTATTAAATAAACAACTAGAAGCTGTTTCTGACCAATTTTTATATGATTTAGAAATTTATCTGAACTTTATAATTTGTTATTATATATATATATATATAATATAGAATCTATATATATATTATTTATCATTCATTTAATTGTAAAAAATTTTTTTTTCTTAATAATAATCAGGTACAAAGATAGTAAAACCTCATCCACAAACCTTTTCTTCCATTCCATCATTGCTGACAGCTTTTCAAAATGAATGAGATAGTTTACATTAGTAAATATCAAAGTTCAACCACCTGCAGATATGTCTATGTCTGAGACACAAAAGATGTAGGTTAATGAGGAGAAAGGCATAGGTAGTTCAATCATTTAAAAATTAGTAGAATCCAGTATAGTGTATATAATTTCTATTAACTAATTATCATTTAATTATAAAAGAAATATATGCACATTCTAAAATTAAAGTTTACCCAATTAAAAAATTTTAAATTAGTTTATCAAAGGGATGTAAAAAAAGAAAGCCACCACCAAATCTTACACCTGCTGATACAATCAAAACATTTACTCAAATTTCTACAATTCCAGCTTTACACAATTCCTCAGTGCCTGGAATATTATTATGTATGGATTTAGATCAAACAGAAAAATTAGTTCTAACAGGTGACGTTGACAAAAAGCATCGATTTATTATAATTGTAAAGAAGGTAAAGTAGTAAGTCAATTGAACAACCATACAAATGGTTTGCGGAGAGAGAAAGACAAAGCTGGTGAATCAGATATTGTATTTACAGCAAGCACTGATAAAAGTGTTAGAATTTGGAATAATACCAAAGAAGGTATTTATTTTCAAGTGAAAATATAAAATCTCAAAAAAAAAAAAATTTTTTTTTCTTAATAAAACCAGGATATAAAGCATCCATTGCCATTTCAATACACAATGCAGAAGTTACTGGTATAGCTTTAAACCCCACCAAAGATTATTTTATGTCAGTTTCTGAAGATTTAACCTGGGTTTTCATGATATTGCTATTGCTCAAACACTGGTTAAATAGAAAATAGTGATGTAAAAGGTGGTTTGTATTTATATTTATTCGATTTTATTATATAAATAACCTATTTACTCATGTATTTATATTATAATAAATGTATTGGAATATTCATGTGGAAATTTCATCCTGATGGTCTTATATATTAGGAACAGGTACAAATGATTCAATTGTTAGAATTTGGGATATAAAAGCACAACAAAATGTTGCAAAAATGGAAGGACACACAAGAAAAGTCAAATCATTGTCATTTTCAAAAAATGTATATTACTTAGCAACAAGTTCAGGAGATAATTTGATTAAAATATGGGATTTAAGAAAACAAAACAAATGTCCACACTCTATGTGTCTTTTATTATTTTATATTGTTGAAATCAAACTATGGGACAGAAAATGTAGTGTCTCTCGGGTATTTCTGTATTTATTACAAGAATAATAATAAATAATTGGTATCGTTTTGCTTCTCATAATTAATGTTAATATTAATATTAATATTAAATAATTAAAAGATGTCAAGGCAATACAACTGTTGCAGAAGGGAAACAATTCGATATGTGACATTTTCATAATCATAAATTGGCAGATGTCAAGTTACTTGAACACTTTACAGTCATTCTCATACATTCCTTCTTCAAAATACTTCTTCTGATATAAATGAGGTTCATATTAACTATTGTTGTCCAGACAAATATCATAATCACATTATATTGTAATTGGTAATACAATTGTGGTGTTAAACATTCTTGATCCCTGAAATTTTTGATAATAATACAAATGTTCACTTTGTCTGGTTTTGTTGCAAGCATGTCCATATTATGATACAGATACGTAATTCCGCATTTTATGATGTCAGTAATATTTTATATTTTTGGTAATGATATTCGTGCCTGTTGTTTCTGAGACCTCGATTAGAAGTTTCCAGAGTCCCTCCTATAAATTTTAATTTGTGAAACTATATTTTTTCTAAACAAAACCTCTAAAATGTCTGCCATAACAACAACAACAACAGTCCAAGCAACTTATTCAAAAAAACAAGATGATGAAAACAATTCTAAACCCTTAGTATTGAGAAAGTTTGAATATAATCTGAAGAAAGTTTTTAATGATAATGATAATGATAATGGTGATGATAATAATAATTATAACCAGAATAATGAAAAAAAAGAATTACATGACTTATCAAATCTTTTGCTTTCAATGCAAAAAGATATCAATACATACCTAACAGATCAAATGAAAATAACTGGTGATGATTATAAGGATGTTGAAGAAATGGAGGAGGAAGAGGAGGGAGATGAAAAACTTAATTAACAACATTTTTATTACAAGACTGTATCCTGCAATCATATTTTTATTTTGTCATTTTATCATATTTATTAGAAAAACGTGAATTATCATTGCATACAATTGGTCATTATCATATTTTAATTCTTTGGCTACTAAAATTAATGGTTATGCAAAAAAAAATTTATTAAATAAAAATAAAAATGGTTTAGTAAATGAAATGTTAAAAATGAGTCATTTGCTAATTCTTTCTATAATATCTAAATAATTTTTATAACCATTGAAAAATAATAACTGTTGCTCACTGCCGGTCCAAACAGGAATCAAACTAAAGTGTGTTGTATTATCAACTTCCCAAACATACCATTTACCAGCTTCAAAATTTTCCTTTTCATAACCACATTCATTTTCTTTTGATGGTAGCCCTTTAAAATGTTTACATAAACCATCTTCACATTTGTAATGAGGATGTGATTGAGAAATTTTTGGACATACTCCATCATTCTCATACCATTTGTGTAATTCTTCTTGTGATAATGGTGGTGGAACATGATCTTCTGAAGATATTGTATTATCTTGAAATCGGAATCTACCAATTCCATATGATAAAAAATAAATTGCTAATGGCAATGAAAAAGAAAAACTTGGCTTATGAAATTTTGTTATAGGATCTTCATGCGTCTATTAATCCCCATAGAAAAATAAGTTATATTTATAATATTAATGATAATGATAATAATAATCATTGGCATTTAATTTACCATTGATGCAGCATAGGTTCTGTAATAGGTATTTTTAAAAGTTTTACTTGTTGAATTTAAATCATTCATTGCATGTATTGTCATATCATAAGGAGCATTATCTTTGAAATATAACCAAGGACTTTTAAATAAACATTTTAATAATCCATGTTTACTAACACAAATATTATTTGAATTTTTGTTTAAAGATTCATCAATTTCAACCATTTCTTCACTTTCTTCATCATCAACTTCTTCATTTGAATCATCATCATTTCCTTCTTCATCAATGTTGATATCATCATCATCTTGAATTTTAAGATCCAAACCATCATCTCCTTCCCTTTCTTTAAGATAATTAGAATCCTTTACTTTTTTACTTTGAAAAATATTAATTAAATATTCAGAAATTGTGCTGAATGGATTTATTTTAGTACTTTTTATTGTATTAAAATTCCAATGATCAACATTAAAATCATAAGTAACTTTTTTCAACCATTTAATGTCAAAATACTCATATAAATGAACAAATCTACCCAACCAACAACCAAATGAAAATGGGCGAATTTCACCATTTCTTTTTGTAGTTGCTCCCAATAAATACACCCCTTGAGTACCTATTAAATATACATATAAATATATAAAATATGATGATAAGATGTAAAATTATAAAAAACAAACCTTTGAATGGTGAAGAAACAGCCGTTAAAGATCTAATCATGTCAGGATGTGCATTATAAGATGATGGAAATATATCACTTGCAAGCAATTGTTGAAGCTTCCATATAGTTGTACCACCCTGTACACATGTTAAAACAAACCGCAAAACTTATTAACCTCATTACAAAAGCAATATGAACTTATTTATCTAAAACTTACTAGTGAATGACCAAGAAAATGAAGAGGTTTAGAAACACTCCATTCTGAATATAATCCTATGATGATGTTTTTTTAAATATTGCTTGTCAGATTTTTATTATTTCAATATCTATTAAAAATTATAAATAAAACTTACCAGGATATTCACGTCCATATCGAGAATGACCAAATAATTTAGAATGCTCTTCACCATAATCAACTATTTTATTTTAAAGTAAATACTACTAGCGTTGCATAACAAAAATGGCACTGTTAATACCTCTCTGCATTAAAATTATAATTACCTTTTCCACCTTTAATTTGATAAAAAATTTCAACAGCTCTGTCATGTAAAGAACTTCCACAACCAGGAGTAACAAATATGCAACTTCTGTTACTTTTTAGATTTGAATCATTTGTGGAAAACAATGATTCTAATGGACCCCAATAAGCTGGTTTACCAGGTCCCATGAAACCCTCAACGAAAACAACAGGATTCGGAAATATTTCATCATCATTGTTAATATTGTTGTTGTTTGTTTTTGTTCTTGAATCATTCAAAGATTGGTAATCAAAAAATTCAGGCGACATTTTTATTATTTTTTTTGGATAAAATTTTTCGCACAATAAATAGAATAATAATGTAACACTAATTAATAAATAATTAAGATAGCGCGGGCTTTTTCTGCGGATTTAAGGGTTTAACGGATAAAAAAAATTTTTTTTTTTAACAAATTTATTCCGTTAGATGATGATCATTACTATTACTATTTTGAAATTTAAAATATAAACCCGAAAACGTAATAGTAACGTATTGGGGTTGGTCACAAAATTTTCAAAATACATTTAAAAAAATCCGCATATATGAAAATTCTATTATTGATGTTCATTACGTAATGACGAATAAAAAAAGTAATACAATCTACAGCTGTACAATTCATTTAATCTAAATAGCTAATGAATCGAATCAAAAAATTAGATGATTCGTTCGGAACCTTATTTAAAACCAATAATCTGTAAAATAAATTTATGGCTTGTGAAATGATTCGTGGAAATGAAATTTACGATTTAGACATTAGGAAAATTTTTCTTATATAAAAGAAGGAAATATCCACCCTTGCTTATAATCAAAAAGAAAATTTTTTTAAAAAATAACTATACTTTTAATAATAAATTTGAAAATATGTACACACAAACCCGATCAGAAGAAAATTTAAATCAACCTAAAGTAATATTTTTTACATATTTTAAATTACGATTTTGATATAACTTATATCACGTGATTTTGTTATAAAATCAAATTTCTCGTTTTTACGGATATTTCGATTTAGCGGATAAATTTCTTGGGCCAAACTTATCCGCTAAATTGAGATTCACTGTGTATTAAAATCTGCGATTGTGAAATGTCGTCCGACTATTATGAATCTCGAAAGCTGAAATGTTGCGGTCCCGCTCTTTTTTAGTGTACTAGTACTTTCTAATCATAGCGTTTGCGGTCACCTATCCTCCACTACAAAATTTGGCACTAGTAATGCTTATTTTTAACAATAAAAAATGGGCTACTTAAAAATATACAGTATCGTGTGATCTACAAGAAACTTTGTGTGACCATATTTTGCAAGCGGAGTTGGAAAAGTAGTATTGTTATTAACATGGGTCTTTTCAATAGAAACGGATCATCCTGTGAAAAAAGCAATTTTGAGTTCCTCGTGTACAACATTTTTGCTGGTTAAAAATCCTCTCATCGACGACTATTTAATCAATATGCAACCATCCATTCAATCAAAAAATAAGTCGCATTAATTGAATTCGTAAAGTGGGTACAGTCCCTAAGCTACATGTGAGATATTCTTGTTTCCTATCGAAAAGACCTATTAATTAATATATTTGCATAAATTTCATTACTAATAAAGTTCAAACTGAATTCTGCCCTGGAAATATGACCATCTGCCCTGAAAGCAAATTACCACTAACTGCAAAAATACAATAATAGACACATAACTAATTGTATTTATATTTGTAATAGGTTGACTAATATAAAAGTGAAAGCTATTAGATGAATTGTGAGAAAAAATGCCAAGAATTTTACTAAATTCTTTTTTTGAAATACATGGAATTCCGTAATCTGTAATAATTCCATGGTTAATTAATATAGATGCTGGTCGCAATTCTTGGTGATGGTTGCAACCATATTTGCGACATATAAAAATGGTTTGTGACACCTGGTTGCGACCACCTTTGCGACCACTTTGGTTTCCTTTTTTTGGATTGCGACATGGAACACTATTAATTAATAAATTAAAAAATTTTAAAAGCAATAATTATTATTTTTGATAAAAGAATTTATCTGCAGTCTTGATTTTGGTTGATTGTATGTATCTGAATTATTTGTTAAATATAACTAATTAAGAGTATTCTGTAAATTTGATCCATCTGAAGCGTTTTTAATATCTACTATGAATGATTTTTTTTAAAATATATAAGTCCAATTGGGTGCTCTTTGGTTATGTAGTAAATAGTGTTCGTTGCCAAAATTATTTTGAAGAGACGAAAGTCAAAACAAAAATTAAAATTTATGTGTCAAAACTAAATCAAAAGTCAGTGATCAAAACTTACAGCGAAACCATTTGACTTTTGCACAGTTGCGAAACTCTCTAGTTCTGGAAACCAACGCTAATAGTGAAGCATATCAATTGTCATAAAAATTTTAAATTTGTAGTTGATTATTATCTAAATCGTTCAATAAATCAACTTCCTGTAGACTCGAATTTAAATCTTCATCATTATCATCTCTAATGTCTAAACTTGAAAATTTATCCATTGATTGAGCCAACTTCAACCGTAATTGCTTCTTTTTTACCATATTTACATATATCACTTGAAATTTCTCTAACAAATGAATGTCAAAGAAATTTTTTCTTTTGAACTTAGTACAAATAATGTGATCAATAGCATTTTATTCAGGGAAATTGCATTACCAAAATTAAAAAGTTTATTTAATAAAAAATACCTTTATTTTACTGTATGTTGTATAATAGTTGTTAATAGTTAATTTGAAAAATTCAGTACAAATAGCTAGTCTAAAAAGCAAAACAAAAAAATCTATTTTTTAAACTTTGAGATAGACTTCACGATATGACTAATAGTGATGTTTTCGATCCATATTTTTATGCAAAAATCACCATCCTTATCAGTTTGTGACCTCTTCTGATGAAAATTTAATCTTAAAATACTCATTTACATAACTTTACAGAATTCCTCTATTGCTCCTTCAACGTCAAATTCTGGCACACAAAACAATCGCTATAAATCACAATCACAACCGCAACAACAATCAATCTACAAACTCTAGATCATAATAACAGACAATACATATCAAATCTTTGATAATGGCTTCGTCTTTAGATGGTCCATCCTCTCCTTTGACCTCAACGCAATGTGTACAAAATGCAACCGCGACCACTACCAGAACAAATAATGTTGCATCAATAGCTTCACCCTTCTTTACTACTCCTCCAAATATTCCTGCAATTTTAATTAATCCTAACTGAGACATTTTGACAAGTAATTTCGATTTGCAAGAAATATTATCACAATTTGAAACACAACCTGATCCATCAAAAATTATTTTAACTTTAAAAGTTGAAAGAGATAAACGTAGAGCAGAAGAAGCTAAATTGCGTGTTCGTGAATTTGACCTAATACTAATGGATCGTCATAGGCAAAGAAGATTTGCGGAACACGTTGAAGGTATGGATGTATCCAATAATACTAATAATTATGAAGAGCAACTAATTCTTCTTAATAACGAACGTGGTAAAATTATTAATTATATTAATTGTAGATTTTTTAATTTTAACTTTTTAAAAACATTGAGGTTTTTTCTCATCAAAAAGATATTATTATAATAAAATTTGGGAATTTTCGAAATGCCAAGGTTCAAATTAGCAATAAAATTTGTCAGTTAACTTTTTTATTTTGTTATTAATTGATTATTATAGATGATCCGCACCGTAATGTGGAGGATGCAATGAATTATAAAAAATAGGGACCGCATCAGGGTTGGCAAATGTGTGGTCCATCGGATCCATTAGTGTACCATTTTAGCATATTTAGTAATTTATTAATAGCAATGGACCGGTCAATTTGCCAACCTTGGTCCGCACTACAAAATTTTCTAAATTAACCAAATTTAGAGATAATACAGTCTTTGTAATGAAGTCAGCAAGTAACTTAAACTTAGTATTAGGAGAATAGAATGAAATTACAATCGATTTGAATGTAAAATTTACAACAGGAAAATTTTCAATAAAAAATAATGATAATCATTCAAATAAGACAAAAATGACAAAAACAAATGATTGATTGATTGATATGAACGGCGACGACGACGATGATGTTGTTGATCAATCAAACCAATCAAATTGAATTGAATGAATGGCTGGATGCTCGATTGATTTTTATTATTGTTAATATTATTATTATTATTATTAATTATTATTATTATATTATTATTAAATTTATTCAATTATTCTTTTAATTCTAAAATTTTTTACAAAAAAAAAAATAAATATTTTTTGAGTTTCTACAATTTTCATTTCGCTCCTGAAAAGATTTTACAATATACAAAATCTATTATTGCGTCTCAAAATAAATTAAACAAACAAATTATTTTTACTAGAATTCTTGTCGTCGTCGTCTTCTTCTTCTTCTTCTTTTTTATCAACTATAGCGGTATTTTCATCTTCTTCATTTTCACTATCTCCAAAATGATCAATATCATCTGTTTGGAACAATGTAGCTTCTTTAGCTAAATCATCCCTGCAAAAAATATAATTATTTAATAATTAAAGTTTTAAAAAATAAAATTATTATAGTTAGTTGCTTGACTTACAACTCATTGTTTTCAAGATCCAACACCATCTTTTGATTTGCCAAACTTTTTCTACGATTAAATATTTTCCCTCGGTAATTCCAAATAAGTATCAAAATTATACCAACTATTAAAATAATAAGCACGATTGTTCCATGACTATATAAAATGATAATAAATAATAAATAAATAAAGATTATTTATTATTTATTAGATAGATTACTTTCATTTTCGTTTTAATTGCTATCATTATATTTACATATACAATATATGTATATTTATTACACAAAAAATTAAATTCTTACGATTGACGCTGTTCGTCTGAATCTTGATTGTGTTCATTATTTTTATTATCACTATCTTCTCCATTATCGTAATCACCTTGCACATTTGGTTGCTCCTAAAAAAAGGAAAATTATATTAGTAAATTTTGTAAAAAATTTATGTTGACTGTTTCCACAATAAAAGTTCCTTATAATTGTATATGAATATATTAATAAATTAATTACCTTTATACCAATACTTGAAGTAAAATTAGCTATTATATCATCATGGATTCCAATAAATCTATAAATCATATCCATAGTTTCAACAGGTACATCATATGGCACCATATGACTTGTATTGTAAACAACAATGTATGTAAGATTTCTCTCAGTAGTCATTTCGCCAACAACTTTATCATTTATATACCAAGGTTTTGATACTGCATCCTAAAAATTACATGCATATCGTAGATAAATAAATGAGTGAATGAATCGATGGATAGTGAGAATAAAATAATAATGGTGGTGGTGGTTGGTAGTGGTTAATAAAGTTTTCTAATTTTACCTTAAAACCTTTATATCCGTTCCATTCTAACTTCTTTACCATATCTTGTGTTCCATATATGTTACATATTAAATCTTTATCCCCACTAAAACATACATGTAGATAAATAAACACAATAAATACAATATAATGATAAAAATTATGTGAAAAATTTAATACAAACTTGTATAATAAAACATTGATTTGTTTTAAAAGATCAGGCATTAACTAGAATAATAGTAAATTAGTATTAACACATAATAATTGATATATTTAGTTTATATATGTGTGTGATAACACATACTGTAACAGAGGGAGGCGACATGTCTTGATCAAAGCCAATGCCAACTTTAGAATTACATTCCACCCATTTAAGTTTATTTGTATTAGCATGTATGGCATCAACAACGTCTGGTCGCTATTAATAATGATTCTAATTAAATATTTTAGAATCTAATTTAAAATCATTTTGTTTTTATTATTTTCTTAAAAAAAATTAATATTACTCTTAAATATTTGTAAATTGTAGGAAGCTCGTAAGGCCAATTCATTCCACAAGAAGGATAACTGTCATTATGATCACGAATATCATATTGATTTATACATGTTTCTCTGGTTCCTTCTCTACTCTCAAAAAAAATTTTTTTATTAACAGTTTTTATAAAATGAATTAATAAATATAATATAATATTTACCGTCTACGAGAACCACTTAAGATTGTGACTAAAACTTTTTCACATGAATATACATGAATGGCAAGACTTTCCTGCAAATCTTTCATACAGATTCCTAATTGCTCATATGCAGCAGCCTATTATAGTAATAATGATAATGGTAATAATAATATTGTTACAATTGATAATATAATTCTTTTTGGTTTATTGTCGTTGTTTTTTTACCTTGGTTTTTTCATCCATAATATTCTGGTCCACTGCAAATGTGTAATATGCATTATACTATTGTATTAATAGAAAGTAATAATTATAACATTAACAATAAAGAAATATTAAAATATTAGAAATATAAAACTTATAGTTATATAATAATTACCTGACTTATAGGATCAAACCATCCATTACCAATTGCTATTCCTTTTAAATTATACTAATATTAAAGAAAAGTAAAAGTTTAGATTAAATAAATAGTTTGTTATACTTTTTCCTTCAGAACAAAAAATATATTAATATTAACCTTGTGATAATCGGGTGTTTTCCTGGCATGATTCCGATCTAATATAGCTTTTGCTATATAAGGTATATATGTTCCTGCAAAACTTTCACCTGCTAAATAGATCTTCAAAATAGTGAATATAAATGATTTTAATATTTTTTTATATTATTATAATGACAATCAATAACCATAACAATAACGATATATACATCATCATTGGAAAATTCCGGAAATATCCCATAAAACTGATCTAAAAAGGTTAAAAATTGGTTTGAGACCTAAATGAATATTTTGTAATTAATTGGTTTGTTTTTTTAATCTTGGCAAAAAATTCTCATATAAAAAAATTCATATATATATTACTTGTGTCAAATTGTTTAAATAACCATCGGAATCAGTAAAGCTAAACCCTGTGCCCACAGGCTGATCGACTTTTTTATTTGATATAATAATAATTGTGAAGAAAGTTACTACATTTGTAGATATTAATAATCACAATTAATATGATTATAATAATCACAACAATTAAATACCATATAAAACATTTGCATATTCATTCCATGAACCATCGATTAACCTTAATGTTTGATCTGAATTGATTCTCCAAGGTCCATTTTCAAGAAATACACCATCCATACTATAAAAATCGACAAGAATTAATAAGATTAAATCCTAGTGAATAAAAAAAGAAAATACTTTATTTTTATTTCATTACCTTGAACTAAATGAGATTATCAAATTATATGAATGATATTTAGAATATGTATAATATGTATAATATATATGCGATATATTTCTAATGATAAATCAAACTTACCATCCAGGACCTAAATCAATATATACTCATTAGACTATATTGTAAATAGTAATAAATCACCAAATTAAAACATTATATATAACAATGAATTGCAAACCTCCATTTAACCATATAATCTATCACAATGAAAATGAATGAGAATTAAAACATAAATTATTTAAAAACTCTAAATAATACAACAGATCCAATTATCATAATATATAATAAATATCTTTTTTTATTTTGTTGATGTCAACTTACTAACTTGGGTCTATCAGCAATATGTTTATTGTGCATCAACCAAAAAAACAAATGGGAATTTGTGGAGGGATCAATTGTAATGTGGCTGATTTTTTTTTGCAATTTTATGTTTAGTAAAAAAAATTAAAAACATTATATTTGTTTATATATATATACATATATTTACCCCGCATGTGATTTTAAATTACTTTTGTCAGAAAGACCAGGTAAAGATCTGACAAAGTAATCAGCAGCTATTCAAATATATTTATATTAGAAAACATCAAAGCTTGGTCCTATCGTTCAACTATTAAATAGTTACTAACCAGTTGCTGCCTCGGAAAACTCTAGTCTAACAATGAAGATATAAAGACCAAGTAATAATAAAACTATGGATTTCAAAATATTGTAGTCCATTTTATTAAAATTAATATTAACCGTCAATTATTACATTAAAAAAAAAAAAAAAGCATTTTATGCGTTTTGTGGAACAATATATATCCGCAGTAACATAAAAAAATTTCTTTTTTCAATCGACGATTACCAAAAAAAAATTTTTCATCATCATAATATAAAATGACAGCTCCAACAGCTTTATTTCAAGATAAAACTCTTCAATTAATAGGGAAACCTTTAATAAACACAGATAAGTTACCTGAAGATATTAAACGACGAGTAAATGCTTTGAGATATTATCAAGATAAGCATGAAAAATTAGAAGCAAAATTTCAAGAACAGATTTTAGCTTTGGAAAAGCAATATTTAAAAGAATATATGCCACTATATGAAATGCGTGCAAACATTGTTCAAGGTAAAAGCGAACCAACTCAAGATATTGTCGAGGAAGGTATCAAAATAGATGAAGAGGAAAAAAATAAATTAGGTGAAAAACCAGAAGGAGAAGAAGATGCAACAACAAAAGAAACCATAATAGAAAAAAAGGAAACAGCTGAAGTAGATGGTGGAGGACCTGCAAAAGGAATTCCTGGGTTTTGGCTCACAGCTATGAAAAATTTAGTTTCTGTTGCAGAGATTATTACCGTGCGCGATGAAGAAGCATTAAAACACTTGATTGATATTAAAATGTCATATCTTGCAAAACCAGGATTTGAACTTACGTTTGAATTTGAAAAAAATCCATTTTTTACTAATGAAAGCTTGAAAAAAACATATTTTTATCGGGAGGAGCCTGGTTATGGTGGAGATTTTGTTTATGATCATGCTGAGGGCACAAAAATCGATTGGAATGAAGGCAAAAATCTTACCAAAACAGTAAAGAAAAAGGTTCAAAAACGTAAAGGTAATAACGATGAAGATATGTATATTTTTTAAAATTCAATTCAATTCAATTCAATGTTTTAAATCTTATCTAGGTACTACAAAGACTCGTGTAAGAAAAGTGACAGTAGATACAGATTCATTTTTTCTTTTCTTCAGTCCACCAATTGAACCTGAAGATGAAGAAGATGAACAATTGGATGAACAATTAGAAATGGATTATCAAATTGGTGAAGACATAAAAGAAAAACTTGTTCCTCGTGCTATTGATTGGTATACTGGCAGGGCTTTAAAATTTGATGATACATTCGATTATAATGATTTATATTATGATGATGATGATGATGACGACGACGATGATGATGGTCCCGAAGTTGACAATGAGGAAGTTGACGATGATGACAATGATGATGATTATGATGATGACGACAACGACGATGATGATGATGAAATAGATAAAGAAAATGAAGAAACAACCAAGGATTCAAAATAAAATAAATATTAATTAGAATCCATTCATCATTCATCATTAATTAATTTATTAATCAATTTTCTTTTTATATTGTTAGTTAAAGGTGCCCTTCTTTGGGGAGGAGAAATATTTAATATAATAATATTAACGTTTAGATTATTTATTATTACACTTTATTTGTTATGTTGACTTTTTTAAATGTTGTATTTATCTGTTATAATCATTTTATATATATATAAAAAAAGATATCATTTATTTGAATATACATATAAAAATGAAAAATCTAATTTGGTCGTTTGGAAAAGACCATATACATCTACTTGTACACTACGCTCGCTGTATTAGTAGTAAAACCAAATACAAAAATTTCTATATTGTAACGACGATGAAGTCGCCTGGCAATCAAATTTTCAACTAATACTACCTGTTTGCAAAAATAAATTATTTATTTGATGATGGATTGATTAAATTGATTAGCATAATAATAATCAACAACGCCTTTAAAACATTTATTATATCACCACCATCTCCTTTGTAAGGTTCCTTTCTTTCTCACTTTTTCATCTAAATAATTTAGATGCTCTAAAAAAATCATGACATGTCCTTTTTTTTTTGTACAAAATTTTTTATTTCACAAAGCATATTCCATTTATTAAATTTATTTTGTAAGAAATTTATTTTATTCTATTCTCTTGCAATTTATTTATAATGATTGAAAAAAAAAATTTTAGCAAAAAAAAAAATATAATCTATAAATTTATAATATTAATATTGCAAATAATTAATAATTTGACTAGAGATTTTTAAAAACTTTTTTAAATCGGCTTAATCTTAAATAAAAAAAACAAAAATAAAATTTATTATTGTTATTACCGTAATATTAAAACATACAAATATAAATATAATTACCTTAAAATGTAAACTGATCAAAGAAAATACTAAACATTTAAGATCTTGCACTAAATAATAAAAACTTCTTAAACCTTCAGGATCTTCACTTTCTTGAACGTCAACAAGTGATCCAATCTTGGCAGTCTAAATAATTTCATATATTGTTGTAGTAATAATATTAATATATCAACATTATTGATTATTATTAATCTAATATCTAACCTCAAAAGAAATATGTTCATTTCCTAATCTGATCTCAAGTTCTTGCCTACCAACAACATTCTTTTTAGGCCATCGATGATCATCTTCACTATAAAGATATATATATATAATTTATATAGTGTTTATCTATATATATAATAATGTTTTTTAATCTTACTTCATTATATTACTTTCTTTGATAATTTCTTTCAATTCTTTCATCATTAAAGGACTAACGTACACTTTAAAAAAAAAAAACCAAAATAACATTAGAGAATCAAATCTGTAGAAACTTTTTACACTAATCCCTAGTTAATGCTTACTCTCTTTTCTTATTAAACTGTCATTTCTATAATTTGAGTGGTTAGCATAACGACATCTTCCATCAGCACAAAACTCAAACTCTAAAAATTCATGTCCATATCTACCTTTATGACCAGTACTTATTCAAAAATTATATTTTTTATTACATTTAGATCGATTAATGAACTAAAACAATTATATGGAAATTGAAAAATACATACTAGTAACGAATGTAGAATTCCTCGTCGTTTACCATTTTTTTTATAGACTAAAATATTAATTTTATTTATTTTTTATAGATCAAAAAATATTAGTTGCACAAGTTAACAAATTCATCTCCACAAAATTGAATACAATGTGAAAATTATAACAATTAAATATATAACAAACAAATATCTTTCTTTTTTTTTTATCATCTCCTCCCTCTTTATTATCAATTCTATATACTCTCTTTAGTTTTTTTTTTTTTATAATTCAAAAGATAAATTCTGTTAAATATATAAACTCTCCCAATTTTGCATTATATATATCATCCCTCCCTCCCTTGAATTTAAAAGGTAATGGTGATAATAAACATTTTGCTTTTTTTTTTTTTTTCTAAAAAAAGACTTTTTTTTAATTTTCTTTTAAAAACTATAACTTAACAAAATGTTTTTTACCAACAAATTTCATCAATTTTAGATTAATTTATTATTTATAGTAAAACATTACTATCGAAACAAAAATAAATAAACACAATCATCGTATTTTTAGTGAATATTATTTTTAAAAAATAATGAAGGGCCCAAAATCAGCACTCATGGGAAGTAAACAAAAAATTTTAAAAATATTTACAAAAAATACTAATCATAATAAACAATCTGTTGTTACCTCTTCCTCCTCTTCCCCCTCCTCCTCCTCTTCGCCGTCATCATCATCATCACCGTCATCATCTACCAATAATAACGGCAATTGTAATTACAACAATAATAATGTTATAGAAACATCACCACCAAAAAAAGCTGTAACTATCACCAACACTACAGCTATTACAAAAAGATTAACAGGAATTGCTAATAAAATTAATATCAACACAACCACCACAAATAATAACGTTGTTAACAATATTTTAGATAATAATTTGGATGATGTTGACGAAGGATTTTATACATTAGATGAAAAGACTCCAAAAATCGGTAAAAAAATTTTTTTATGATCATCATCATACATAATTTTTAAGTAAAAAAAATTTGTGATGTAATAAATAATGTAAAACATATTTATTATGATTTTTTTGTTCAGACTACTTAACACGACTCCCTTACGAAATGGCATCATATATATTACTATATATTGATTTACAAACATTATGTAGAATGTCACTTGTATCTCGTACCTGGTATCGTATATCAAGAGATAATGAAATATGGCGTAGAAAATTTTTATCAAACGAAGGATGGAAAGTGAATATTCCAAAAGAAATTTTAATATCTGGCGGAATTGATTGGAAGTTACTATACAAGAATAGATATACGCTATCATTGAAATGGAAGAAAGGCGAATGCGAAAAAAAATATTTGAAAGGTCATGTAGATAGTGTCTATTGTATTCAATTTGATGAAAAAAAAATAGTCACTGGATCAAGAGATAAAACCATCAAATTTTGGGACATTAACACGGGAATTTGTTTCCAGACATTACATGGACATGATCTTTCAGTATTATGTTTACAATATAATGACAAAATAATGGTAACTGGATCGAGTGATTCTACTATAATTATTTGGGATATGAGTAATATTGATAAAGTTATAAATAATAATAATAATAGTGATAACAATCAATGTGTTAAACAGATAATGAAGCTGAATGGTCACTCAGCAGGTGTTTTAGATATATGTTTTGATGATAATTATATTGTATCATGTTCAAAAGATTGCACAATAAAAGTATGGAATGTTATTACTGGGGAATTAAAAAGAACATTATATGGTCATTTCGGTCCTGTGAATGCTATACAACTTAAAGATAATAGAATTATATCAGCTTCTGGCGATGCATTAATAAAATTATGGGATCTAAATACCGGTGTATGTATAAGAGATTTTGTTGGTCATACACGCGGGCTAGCATGCGTACAGTTTGATGGTAGATGGGTGGTGTCAGGATCAAATGACAAAACCATCAAAATATGGGATGTGGAAACTGCTCAGTGTGTACGTACACTTGAGGGTCATACCGATCTGGTAAGAACTTTACATTTTGATGAGAATATGGTTATCAGCGGAAGTTATGATCAAACTGTTAAAGTATGGGATCTTAAAACTGGTAAACAACTATTGGATTTTCATGAAGGTCATACCAGTTGGGTGTTTGATGTACAATTCAACAGGACCAAAATTGTTAGTACAAGCCAAGATAAGAAAATATTAATGATGAATTTTGCTGAAGATTTAGATACAAAATATTTATTATGATGAATTAATTATGTTGATTATCATCAATGTTTGATAAGAAAAAATTCTTTTATTTAGAAAAATAAAATATCTTTACACCTTCTCAAAGCAATTTTTTTAGGGGCTTTTTTTATCATATAATATTTTATATATTTTAATATTTAAAAAAATTTATCATCATTTTTTTTTTTAAATATTCTTTTTGTATTTCCTTTACTATTTCTAATTATCATATATCACATTCCTTCACTATTCAAATTTTTTTTAATTTATTTATTGGAAAGTCATTAAATTAGGGATAATATTCTATTTATTTGTAAATTTTTATTATTTGTAATTATTATTATTATTATTATTATTATAATGAAAAAATTCATCGATAGCCAAATAATATTTTCAAAATCTTTTTATTATATTTTACAAAATAAATAAATAAATGACAATACAACACACTTAAATATTAAATACAATTTTATAATTAATAAAAAAGAAAAACAATAAATAAAGAATAATTGATTGATTATAAATATCTCTCTCCTATATTACCATCACATAGCATTTGCTTCTCGATTTTCTTGTATTAATGCACAGTAACTAAAACAATAATGTGTACACAAATCACCAGCTCCAGATCCCTAAAAAATTAATAAAATTAATAAAATTTTAATTTCAAAATAAATTTTTTCATCATAAAAATAATAATTTGATTAATTACCTCAATGTTTAATTGGGTACGCATTTCATTACGATTCAAAGGTCCAACAACACATCCCACAAAAGCGTAAAGCAATCCATTAACGAGACATGCACTTTCATCATTAAGCATTCTAGCTTTTGTTTCACCCTAGTAATAGATAATAGAGAATATATGAATAAATGATGATAGGTATTTTACTAATTAGACAGTGCTATTTTATTGAAATATTCACTTACATAAGTAACGCATGGACAACAAAAAGTCTTAAGGACTAAAAAATAAAAATAAAAAATTGAAATTAATTTAAACCTGTTTTTTTAATTGAATTAATAACTTATAATATGCTTACATAAATTCGAGTCAGCAAAACAATCAAATAACCCAAATCTCCATTCTCTTGGTCCATTATTATTATCATATACTTCTTTTACCGGTGGTGCTCCTGTAGGTTGTTGCATTTGAGGTGTTTGTTGGTAATTCATTGGAGGTGTTTGTGGTCCACCGCCGAATTGTGACTGGTTTGGTGGTTGTGAAAAATTTTGATACATTACTGGTGGTGGTTGATAAGTCATTTGTGAAAATATGAATATGAAATTTAGGAATGAAAGAAAATAATTTCAAAATTTATACAAATTGTGTGCAATTTATTTTATTTTATTTTTTTTTTTTTTAGAAAAAAATTTTTTTTTTACTTTTTTATTATTTGAATGTTATTGTTGTTATTGCTGTGTACATTTTTCAAAAAGAGAAATCGAGTTTTATCTTTTTCCCAAAAATAAACAAACATATAAATAAAGTGAAATTTTATGAACATCCTATTAAGTTCCTTAAACGTAAATTGCATTCCACGTGATTATGAGGCTAAAATTGGAGTCCATATTAATATTAATATGGTGCTATAATGATTTTGACATCCCAAAATTGCAACAGCGTGAATAAATTCAGTTGTCAAGGTGTAACATTGTTATCCAATCAAATTTTGATTTCTGGAGAGTCTCTAATTTGTACTAATTACACAACGAAATTCTGAATTGCTACATTTTTATTTTATTATTAATAATAAGCAATTCATTACTTTCCGGAAATTCCGTCAACGCCAAATCATTTTAATTTATTATTATCTTAATTCCCCCAAAAATGGAAGTATAAATACCAAATCGTAATTTTGAAGTTAATCTACGTACGACTTCATATTTGATCGGCCAATTTCACATACGTACAACGTATCTTTTATTTCAATTTCGTCAAATTCATAATTTTTTCAGGAACCAATTATATTCGATAATTTCATAACTTTTCATAGCATAGTAGACATTGGATTTCATTGGCTAAATTTCGTGATATCATGCAATAATTAAATTTTTGGCTTGAAGATCGTTACGCAATTTGAAAACGGAATAAATTTATTTAGTTTGAATGGAATCAAATGAATTTCAAGTTGATGCAAGAATATGCATACACACTTGGGTGGTAGAAGTAGTCATCATATCTATTATATTAACAATAAATCTACAATTGTTATAAAATGTTAATAACAATGATCTATTATTTATATATAATAATAATACGTTCTTTACTTAATATAGTTAATTGGAGTAATACGAGTTAATAGGATGATAATAACGTTCTCTAATTAGTCAAAATGTCCTACTTTCAAAAAAATTTTTTTTTAGAAACTAAATTATATATATGCACATTGATGACCGTTGTAATAATTGAATATTATCAAACTTCCTGCTAGTACATTGTTCCTTTAAAGATAGACATATATATATGCATGTATGTTTAAATAACCAAAAATTTAGTATATCAAGTTTATATATATAACAAAAAACTTGATCACGATACAAAAAAAATAAATAATAATATTTACAAGTGAGAGTTTATACCTTCCATCACAGATGACTTTATCCTATTTTTCTTTCTCTCCATCTCTTGTCAATAATAATGATTGTTGTGATCAAAAGAGGATGAACAAGAAGGTATAACGTTAATACGCGGTCATGCTTATCATAAATGTTTGGAACTTTATAAAAAGGGTGTTGTCACAAATGTAAAATCCTATATAATAATAATAGACTAGAAAAAGATAATCCTGAGCCTAGAACGTCTTACAATATACTTACGTTGATCACTAAAGCTTGAAATATAGTTCCTATGTAACCCTTCAAAAGCGACTTGATCATTTGATCATTTTTCACACACATACTGTGAACATAGAAAGCAAAATATACGCGTTAAAAAAATGTATCATAGGTTAAACAAGTTTTTATGCGCAATCACACCCTGTTTTCAACATAAAAAAGATCAACGATCGATTTGTCACATGGGACATACTGCAACAAAACCAGACAAAGTGAACATTATATTGCACACATTACAGGGAACAAAATTTAGTGTAATTGTGATAATATTAATATTAATATTAATGTATTTTTTTAATTATAACCCTAACTAAATAAGCTTTTTTTGTTTAAAAAAAAGAAAATCCAATAAAAATTAAAAAAAAACATCATCAACTCATCAACCCCCTTAACCACGAATATTTAGTACTAATCCAATATCTTCTTTTGACAGCGTTGCTCGTTTAGCATGAATTGTACATAGTCGACTGATGATGATAATGGGGAAGAAGTTTTTTTTATTAATAGTAATATTGTTAATAGAATAAATAGAATCATTATCTTTTTACAGATTGAAAATTATTAAATCAACTTACACATCCTGAAACAACTCAATTAAATATGTCTCAGCAGCTAATTAAAAAAAAAATATAATATTATACACACACATATAAATTCACAAATTCATACATGTAGGATTCAATCAAAAAATAAATCAATTAATTACCTTCTTGAAGTGCTGTAATGGCTGTGGATTCAAACTCAAATCCCATATTAGAATGTTGTTGAAATATGTTTGTGGCAATTTCTTCAACCTATACATATATATACATAATGATTAATTGACTAGTATTTGTATATTAAATGATTATTAATAATGTAATAATAATCTTCTGATCACTAACTACTCTAGAAAAAGGTATTCTTCTTAGAAGAAGATTTGTTGTTCTTTGATGTCGTCTGATTTCATTTAAAGCTATATTATATGGCCTGTACCTTGGTGGTTTTGTGTAAAAGCCTGTTTTTTATTTTAAAATAATCATTTAGCCACTTTTACAAATTGATATGCAAATAATTATTTAAGCAAATTCAATTGGTTGAATTTTATACACATCTTTAAAAATCAGCACTTACATCTGGTATTTGTTGATTCATTTAAATTATTTGTCAGGTCCATTAGATCATCACCATCATTGCTATCATTATCATCCTTTGTAGACATAATGATACTGGTGGTAGTTACAATTTCTTGTCTTTCCTCTTCATCTTTTTCTACTATATTCTCCAAAACAACAACATCATCAATACTATCTTCTTGGTTTATTTTCCCTTCATTGTCATCCTCTTCCTCTGATATCTGCAGATCCTGTAATATTGATGCAAATATTAATATTACAATTTTCTAAAATATAAATAATAATTAATAAACAAGAATAACTAAAAAATACCTCTATATTATTGTTATATAATTGTCCATATCTACCTTTATGACCAGTACTTATTCAAAAATTATATTTTTTATTACATTTAGATCGATTAATGAACTAAAACAATTATATGGAAATTGAAAAATACATACTAGTAACGAATGTAGAATTCCTCGTCGTTTACCATTTTTTTTATAGACTAAAATATTAATTTTATTTATTTTTTATAGATCAAAAAATATTAGTTGCACAAGTTAACAAATTCATCTCCACAAAATTGAATACAATGTGAAAATTATAACAATTAAATATATAACAAACAAATATCTTTCTTTTTTTTTTATCATCTCCTCCCTCTTTATTATCAATTCTATATACTCTCTTTAGTTTTTTTTTTTTTATAATTCAAAAGATAAATTCTGTTAAATATATAAACTCTCCCAATTTTGCATTATATATATCATCCCTCCCTCCCTTGAATTTAAAAGGTAATGGTGATAATAAACATTTTGCTTTTTTTTTTTTTTTCTAAAAAAAGACTTTTTTTTAATTTTCTTTTAAAAACTATAACTTAACAAAATGTTTTTTACCAACAAATTTCATCAATTTTAGATTAATTTATTATTTATAGTAAAACATTACTATCGAAACAAAAATAAATAAACACAATCATCGTATTTTTAGTGAATATTATTTTTAAAAAATAATGAAGGGCCCAAAATCAGCACTCATGGGAAGTAAACAAAAAATTTTAAAAATATTTACAAAAAATACTAATCATAATAAACAATCTGTTGTTACCTCTTCCTCCTCTTCCCCCTCCTCCTCCTCTTCGCCGTCATCATCATCATCACCGTCATCACCTATTACTGCTACACCGACTAAAATTCCATTTTCACCTCAAATTCCAACTGCAACCCCAATTCGAAATACTACGTCTTCAAAAAAAAAATATGTTAAAATTCCTGAAAAGAATAGAGCGACACATCGTCATTCCGAGACATTACGTGCAGCAATAGACAACTTCAAATCACAAGCAAGGTCGTTGGATGGATGGAATTTCTATTCGAATGATAAAGGTGTTAAAATCTACACCAAAGATGTTGGCGGTAAATCTATACCAATGATACGAGGTGAATCAAGAATCTCTGGTGGATTTACTGTAGAAGATATCTTGTCGATTATAAATAGTGTAGAAATGAGAAAGATATGGGACGAGAGGTTTGAAGATAGTGTTGTATTGGAGAAATTGAATCACTTTGATAGTCTAGTCAAATCTGTGATAAAAGGCTCATTTTCGATAAGGTAATATGTGCGTGCTTGTTTATATATACATATTTTGTTACATTGATAATAATAATAATAGATATAAATATTTTCTCATAATGTTATAGTGGAAGAGATTTGTCATTGGCATCTTCGACAGAATATGATTTTGAGACTGGAATAGTTAGATATGTATCAACATCAGTAATAGATCCATTGATCCCAGAGACCAAAAAATATGTCAGGGCACAATTAGATTTTGCAGGTTTTGAATTTGCATCAAAGTTTGATGATGAGGGATTTACAAAATATGTGGATATAAAATACATTGCGGACATTAACGCCAAAATTGACACAGTTCCATCCATAATCCTCAGACAAGTTTCCATTCAGACTCCAATTATACTTAACAGGATCGACGAGTTGTTACAAAAAAGTGGATTCCCGCCCTATGTTAGAGAATCGACATCACAAACTTCGATGAAATCATGTGTGGTCAACACGAAAACATTTGAATGTGACATTGAGGTGGTAGATGTTTTTGGTGGTGCGGTTACCGAGTTAAAAACTTCAAGAAAGATGTATCCTAATGGATATGAGTTAACCATCAAACCTGAAAATGTAAAGGTTGAATTATTACCGAGTAAATTTGAGCTTGTTCGTATAATGTTTCCAACTGGAAATGATTATACAAATATGTTGAAAATTAAAATCAAAAGAAATACATCTAAAGGAATAGATTTTATTTATAATGTTGGAA